GTTCCCCTGGGCTCCGAGTTCAGTGAGGTCACACACAGTCCCATATATCAGAGGGCTGCCTCCCTCCCCTTCTCTCTCACCTGGGTCATGTCTTGAGCTAACAAGCACCTGCTTCATGAATATGCAAACAAGCAGCATCTGCGATGGACAATATAGACAACTGCTTCCCAGAGCAAACTGCCCTCGCCTCTCCTGTGACACCCAGAGCTCAGTGCCCACAATGCACCTGAACTGGAGCTTCCTCTTCTTGGTGGCCGCAGCTACAGGTGAGCGCTGCCCAGGACCAGCCCCAAGGGTCCAGACCCTCACCAGAGAGGTCACACCTCCCTCTCCTCTGCAGGTGTCCACTCCCAGGTCCAGCTGGAGCAGCCTGGGGCTGAAGTGAGGAGACCTGGAGACTCCGCCAAACTGGCCTGCAGGGCCTCTGGATACACCTTCACCAGCTATTATATGCACTGGGTGAGGCAGAAGGCAGGACAGGGGCTTGAGTGGATTGGAAGGATTGACCCTGAAGATGGTGAGACCAAATATGCTCAGAAGTTCCAGGACAAGGTCTCCCTGACTGCAGACACCTCCTCCAGCACAGCATCCCTGGAGCTGAGCAGGCTGACAGCTGAAGACTCGGCCATGTACTACTGTGCGAGGCACAGTGTGCACACCCACATCCTGAGTGTGTCAGAAACCTGAGGCAAGGCAGCTGCCTGGGGCTGTGAGAAGGCTGATTCCCTGAGCGCTGCTTAGAGCACACAGATGATTCTGAGCAGAGGGCTGCAGACCCAAGCCCATGCTGAGTGTGGGAAAGGTTCCACCCATCCCATTCTCAGAAAACACAGACAGCAAGGGGTTCCCAGTGAATAAAGCCAGGGCAAACACTCCCAGCTAATAGTCATGTGAACAGGTTTCCCAGTCAACTGATCCCCTGTCTACAGAGCTTTTAGCATAAATGGATGCTCTAATTTGTCAAGGGTATTTTCTGCATCAAGATGATCATTTTTTTGTTCCAGATATACATAGGTATACAAAGCTGTGTAGATATGCACACATGTAGATGTGTGTAGTATAAATGTATTCCACGTATGTTTCATCTGTGTATATATGTTGCTCTAATGTGTACTCTATAACTTCACACATTTATATACATATACAAATCTAATTTGCTTTTATGTAGTTTCTGTCTATATGTACATGTTCATATGCAAATCTGCAATGCACAGTTATGTACACAAACACAGATTTATCGACTCTCTTATCATGGAATATGAGGGGAGTTTTCATATTCCCTGCACTGTCCATCATCTGGGAATACATGTAGAACCTGAAAGTCTGTTTCCTCTCATTCGTGTCCTGTGAACCTAACTAGCCAGACAAGGTAGTACGGGCTCATTAAATACCTACTCCACAGGGAATATTCACCCGGGACGTCTTCACCTCCTCTTACATGTTCACTTCACATGGGACGTCTTCTCTTCCCTTGCACATTCACTTCACACAGGACCATTTTTCTTCCTTATACAATCACATAAAGGGAACAACCGCCATGCAAATATCAAACAACAATAATTCACAAACCATATTTGTTTAAATTCAGGTTCATCCTCATTGTAATATTTCTGCTTGTAGAGAAACTATGCTGCTGCTACAATATGAAACATTGCTCACACATTAAGCCTAATTCTTGTGAAATACCCACAAAATTGGTGTCATTTTTATTTAGCAGAATGTACAGACCAGGTGGTGTTCATGACAAAATGCAGAGGCTAGATCAGAGAATTACGCAGGTTCCCAGGCCTACCCATGCACAGACTTCCCCAGAACCTAGAGCCTTCTGTGGGGTCATACATGGAGTAGAGTACATGGACCTACATGGATGTTCCATGTCCTCCTACAGTCCCGGTGACCTTATCTGGGGTCATAAATGAACTGCAGTAAATGGAGTTACATGGGTGTACCAAGACCACACACACTCCTGTGACTTACCCAGGTCATGAATGGACCAACAGCCATGCACCGCCATCTCACAGTCCTGTCATGGTGCTGTGCTCTGTTACATTAGGAAAATCGGTGAAAATGATGGTCATGGAAACTTGCTGCACTTGAGAACCTCCATGATTTCCTGTCACGTGAACTCCCAAGTGTCCACAGTGACTGGGTCATGTGGGACCTGGTGGAATTCTTCCTTAGGAAAAATAAGAATGATGTCCAATAGTTAGAATGCCATCATTCTTAGCATATATTCTGGTAAACTTTGAATCCTCTGAGTCACTTCTATACTGGACAAGTGGTGCAATTTCTGCTTGCATTAAATACACATTTTCTAAGACTGCAAGTTAAAGTAGTCTAAAGTCTTCCTTCCATTTCCTAAATAAGAGAAATGATGAGAATCTTGAACTCAGAGTCATGAATTGAACAGAGCTCTCCAATACAAGATAAGGGCCTATCAACATGCCTGAGAGAACTGAGTTACATTTCCCAGAGGAGAAGCTCCAAATGGCCTGGCAGTGCCGGGCAGCTCACAGCACCTGCA